ATCAGAAGATGTACAGAAACACTGAGAAGTTCAGTAGTTTTCTAACTCCTGTAGTTTGTTTGTTCACAGAACTACGAGCTGTTCTCAGAGGCAGTGGAGGCAGACACAGTGGAACAGTTTCTGAAGCTGGCATGAGGAGGGGGATATGAAGTCACCCCCCCAACCTGTTGGAGCTCCATCCAGTGTCTCTCTGCACCACTAACAGAGTCTAATTGTTTTTTTAATGCCACAATGAAGAATGCCAAATATATTTAATCAAAGAAGACATCATTCCCCTTTCTGCACAGTTCCTCTCTGAATCAGTCTTATTATAATCCTTTGTGTTTTGTTAGGAGCCTTCATGTTCCCATGTTGTGTGTCTGATCACACAGGAAGCACAACGACTGTACAGTCTGTTTACTCCAGTTATAATACTTGACATGATGCAGGAAACTGTCCTGACTGGACCTGTAGAACAAACACAAATATTATAAAACACGACACCTGTTCTGTAGAAACAACCACAACAAGTGTTTACAGTGTGTCTGACTGTCAACTTACAGACAGTTAAACCATTTAAACATTGTAAACAAGTAAATTAGCTCAGTTTTTGAACAAAATTACATGAAATGACTCTAACCTCATCATGTCTGTGGAGCCAGAAAACACAATCTTTGACACGTCTCTTTACTCCTTTAAAAGACCAAAATATTTCAGTTTTCTGCCAACTCATTTTTAATTTTCACACTTGGTGCCAACAGATCATAACTGGAACAGCTGGCTGGTAGAAAGCATTTATCTGCCATGTTTAAGACCACCTTCCTGACGGAGTTACATCACTGACTGACCTGGTAGAAGACCGCTCAAAGAAGGATTCAGACTGAGAAGTAGTGAACGTTTATCAGAGCTGCAGCTTCTGCTGACATTAGTGAAGTTATTAAATTAGTGAGTCTGCAGTGAATCCTCAGTCTTAACATGTTCACACTCACTGATCTTACACCATTTCAGGGAACACCTGAGGACAATGAAGGCTTCAGTTTCATGGGAGTGTTGATGTTAGCAGATAAAAGTTAAAGCATGTCTCAGTGAAGATGACTCACCTTCCTGTTAACACCTGTTAACACCTGTTAACACCTGTGGTTTGGGATCTCTTGTGATTTGCACACATATTGTGCGTTGTTTTGTTAGTCTGTGCTTGTAGCTGTTGTTGTTCACGATGTTTAGACATTCCATTCTGAGCTCCTGCTTTGCTTTTGGACCAATTTCCTTTGGCCAAAATAAAGAGAAGAAATAGATTAAATGCTGTTGTCTTCCAAGAAGATTGTGAGAAGAGATTTATGGGTTATGAAAATAAAAATAATAAAAATGTTGAATCCATTGTGTGGAAAATTCTGTCTTTAAGGAACCTCGATTTGTTGCATTTCACAGTGTGGAGAAGACGCCTGTTCATAAAGTGAATTATGTGAAAATGTGTTCTGTATTTGATCTGTAGCAACATTACAGAA